AAGAGCGGCCCATCCGCACGAGACGGCAAGCATTCTACAGCCCGATGCCCTCAGGATGTATTCCTCTGATCCAGACTACTTGAACATTTTCTTCTCACTTATTATTCCAACCATTTTTTCATACGACAGCGGAGGGACGGAAGCATGGCAATCACTAAAGAGATCCTCGCTCATGGCACGGGTGAGTGGGTAAAAAGGCATTTCTGGACAAAATGGGCCGGGAAACAGAAATTCGATTCGATCTGTTCGCGATTTAACGGAAATCTTCCTTAGCCCTTTTCAGACCTTGGTTTTTCGAGAAATTGAAACTCTCATACACTCATGTACGCATCCCAATACAGTCAAAATCGCCTGGCTTGTGACGTTTCCCCTAATTTGGGTGGGCTTGTTTACAAAAGGTAAGAAAAGAAGAAGGTTAGGCAACCTGTTGCAACACTACGCGGATCTTCAGGCATGTAAGGGTAGCCTTTCCAGACGCAAACATCACGTCGCATCAATGTGCTCACAAAATGTGTGCAAATATTCTAAGAGTTTATGAACCGGAACTCAGCCGTAGGAATTTGCGACATAGCTGCAGTACTTGGGCTTTCCTTTCCTTAATGCGCTTCGATCATTTCAATTCTTTTGTGTTCTTTATTTCAGGTTGGTTTGATTTCGCTTACAAGGGAAACCCGGAGGCCGAGTCGCTCGCATTTCGCAATGATTACACCGCTCAATACGGCTTGTTTGGAATCGATTTCGAAACTCCTGAGGGTATCGTGCGCACCGGCTACAGTGGATGGGCCGTGGCCAACTCGGCCCATCCTAATGCCTACCTGAGCATTCATGGGTCACGAGTGACAGCCATCATAAGCGCAGTCGCATGCATTTTGACGGCAGTGACATATCTCCACTCGAAGAAGGCCCCTGCCGAAGCTTCCGTGTACATTATGGGCCGATGCGCCTGGCTCGCCACGTTGGATTTGGCCCTCAACCTGACGACGCTCGGCTTGTGGAGCATCACGGCGTAAGTAACGGGTGGTGTCACCGTTATATAAATGGCTGCTCATGCATGGAGACGGGTGAAAATCGGAACATGCCGGCGGCTTTCTGTGTGATGTTCGTTCCTGTCTTGCGTGGTACGTACCGCCCTTCCCCTTCCAACCCCCCACAACAACAGCAACAGCCCTGCCTTCAACACCGTCTGCGAACACCAGGGCTGTTTCGCTCTGCCTACTGAGAACGTCTCAAATTCCACCCTTTCCTACGCCTGGGGCCTCCTGCTCGTGCGCGTGGCTTTTCAAATCCTCCTGGCGGCAGCGATCGTCCATATGACCCTGGCCAAGCGAGCCAGCGTGAAATTTTGCTCCGAGGAACACGAGGGCCACTATACCGAGCCCTCTGCCCCGGGGTTGGAGGTGTCGCCGAGCAAAGCGGCGGTCTAACTGGGAGACGACGCGTTTGGGAGGCGGGTAAGGGTTGCTGGGGGCTATGAAGGGTTGGAAGGATGCGGTGTATTCCAGATGCGTGAGAGCAAGCAATAGTTGAATGTAGGATTTCCAAATCCTCTTAAGCTCGAGATGGAAAAGTCACGTGGCGAGAGGCGACGCATCATGGTATCTTCATCAGGCACGATGTTACAATCGTCTTTCCGGCACAGGGGGTCCTGGAGGGCTGATGATGCAGTCCGGGGAGGCAAAGAATATTTGGTGCTCAATACAATTCCACGGGCAAGGAAAATGGGCTCAAACCGTAAATACGAAAGGGATGGATCTATTTGGGGTGTCAGAATTGACATGGAACGATGCGAGAAACGGTTTGCGTGGGGAAATGACAAATTGAAGACCCTCATAAATTGGGAAAATTGGGAGATGATAGGAGAATTGGGAAGAAATTTGGGGGAAGGGGGGGGAAGGTAGCTCATAAAATGAGGAAACGGATGGCAAGGATGACATGCCATTGAATTTATCAAGGCACTAGACGGGAGGGCACTCAGCATCTGAAGCTTAGTCGAGACAACTTTGACTACGACAAAGATGGAGCTCCGAGAAAAGAAATAAGAGATAGTGGAAGGCAGTGGACGCATGTAGAAACGTCTTTTTACCAAATTACTGCCGAAAGATTTAGCTTCTTTCCATTAACCATTGATTTGATGCGCGCGGATCTTCCCTTGTTCTTTTCCACAACGGTCACATAATGCAATCAATTCCCTGACCTGAAGCTTTCCGATGATGCATCGTCGTTGCTTGTTCTTCTATGGCTCATTTTTGAATTGCAGAGATTTGCATGCTTCCAAAGGACTCAGCAAGAGTTCGACCTCGTTATTGGAAAAGCCCTATTCCATTCTTCGTCTTACATATCGTCAGCAAACGCTCGTATGCGTGGAAGCATCTCAGAATTTAAAAAATATCACGTCTATCTACATTTCTCCTTGCCTTGCATCTTTCCTCTGACCGTCGGACGTGAAGACTATGCAAAACGTCCTCGACATAGGGTGCATTCAGTCCCTTTTCTCCAAATCCTTCCCACAGTTTCTCTCCTCCTCCTTCAGTCATACATGCATGTAATGGGTAGGGAATATTCCACAAACAGGAAAGCGCAATCGATGTCTATGTGGCACTGCGTGCCCTTCCACCTCGCTAATCTCCGGGAAATCAAAACTACAACATGCCTCCTTCTCTTTTCCCTCCGCTGGACCTGAAAGGTTTGGCGTCTTCGTGGCCAGGCTCACCACAAGTCTTTTTCAAATAAGTAAATGTCAAAAGCACAAATAAATTAAGTAGCTCTTTGCGTTCTGCGCTAGATCCTTGTGACCTGCGTGTCGTGGCTGATAACATCAGCTTGCCCGGTGAGATGCCCGTGTGAGAGAGGGGATGTAGAAGAGGTATTGGAACTGGCCGCGCAAGCCGAAGATTGGGGACTGGCTGGTGCATGTCTGTTTCTATCTCCCTTCTTAGAGGCCTGAAGACTTTTGGAAAGGGAAGAAAGGAAGACGAAGGCGGAGGGAGAGGTGGGCACCGGCCCCTGTCCGTGCTCGGCTGCACGTCCTTGCCGCCAGATTTTTTTCCGCGCGCTTTGCTCTGGCTGCTGCTGAGGCTGCCATTTTTCTGCTTGGTTCGCCGAGAAGGAGGGCTGAGGCGCCAGACGCTTCAAATCGACCGAGCAGGCCTCCACCGCCCGGATCAGACGTCCTAAGGTGCCGTTTAGCTCCTCCCTGTCCTTTTCCCGCCCCTTTTCCATGGTCTCCACGCGCCTGGATAAGGAAGTTACGGCGTTGGCCATGTCTACAGTCCCTGCGCTCTTTTTGGTGGCCATGGCTTGTTGTTGAAGTTCTATAACCGTCAGTAACTGTCGCCGCTCTTGGGCCCAGGCTTGGCGGGCGCTTTGCAGCTGTCCCCAAAATTTGGCCCCGTGATCCTTTCTTCCCCCTTTTGCCCCTCCTCTTGTCCACGTGTCGGCATGATCCCTGTCATGGACGGTCTCCGTCGTCCGGTCGTTCTCGGCGTGTTCGGGCCCATGCCTGGGTTGGTGAGGATTCGCCTTTCCCCTCGTCCCGGATTTTCCCTCCTTCTCCCCGGCCCGTGGTTCCTTTTCGCTGGCGCTTGACGACTGCGGGGGCATGTGGGAGGGTTTGATGTCTGTAGGCGAGGTAGGAGTCGTCGGCCGCGGTCGAGAAATGGGGAAGGACGCGGGAGAGGGCGTGAGGGAGGGAGGGGCGGAGGAAGGACCGAAGGGCTGATGATTGGGGGATAGGTCAAGGAAGACTTCCCGGAGGGAGCCGCTTCCTGTGGGTGGCGATGGCATGGCGCTTTGTTGGAGGTGATGCTGAATCCAGGATGCAGTGGGTTTCAGGTAATTGGTCTCTTCAAGCAAGCTTCGCGGCAGTTGACGCTGTGGGCTCAGGCTGGTACTTTTGAAAATAGGACGTGCCTGGCTGCGTCCTGGTCGCAGTCTGGGATCTTCCAGGGTATGACTTCCTGAATCTTTGTCAGGAACAGCGCTTGGAGGCAGGAGTGGGAGCAGGTTCAGACCTTCAACCGGAACGTCAGTTTTGATCCTTCCCTGCCCCGCGGCGACGGCGACGTAGGAGGTGGAGGAGGACCTCCGCACAGGTGATCGACCTCGCTGGGTGCCTGTGGAGGCATGGATAGCTCCAATGGCAGCTTGTTGTATTTCGCGCGCTTTTTGGTGCCGCTCGACGTGCTTGCGGGCTTGCCGTTCAATGTGAGGTGAGACCGGCGAGGTGGGACCCGCCACTTTCTTACCGGCCGTGGCGGTGTCACGGCCGTTATCAGCGTGTGAATCTCTGGTAAAGAAATGCGGTTTAAAAGTATATGCAATGGCTTCCTCAAATTCGATTTCGGCGCGTCCTCGTGCTGCTTTGACACGATCAGCCCACCGGTGCGCACTCCACCAGTGGAACTGCTTCTCGTAAATCCTCGTGTGCTTAGATGTGGAAGGCGAAGGAGGCGATAAAGGTCGTGATGGTACAGACTCATCGACGTCCATAATCAGAATATGCAACTATATGGAGTAAAACCGATCTTGGCGCCAAATCTCATCAAGGCGTTGATAAAACCGGTGAAGTACGACCATACAGAGGTAAGCTTTGCGCGACTCTCACTCGCAACCAATAATCGGTCAGATGTCCGATTCACGCCCTGTATTTTTGAAGTTTGATTTGGATTTTCATAGAATTTATTTCATTTCTGCTACGACGCGCTGTGCTTCGCAGAGAAGATTTTTGTTTGTTCAGAGGTGATGACCATAAGAGCGGCCCATCCGCACGAGACGGCAAGCATTCTACAGCCCGATGCCCTCAGGACTATCGCATATGCACTCCCGCCACTCATATCATACGAATACTGTGCAGACAGATAACCGGCTAGCCAAATTGTTTTTCAAAAGCACGGAGCATGAATCTACGATGGACGGACCGGCCTCAGAGAACAAATATTCCCTGAGCCCAGAAACCGCCGGGAAAGTAACGGTTCAAGGGGGATCCCGGCACCCAAAATAATGTCACATGACACTTTGGAGGGCGGCGGTGGTATCAAATGTCCAATGCACGTATGGCTTTGACACTGATATGGTGACGGGTTAGGTGCTTGTGGCGTAATTTCAGGATTCTTCCTTGGCCGGTTGTTGCGCATGCATTCGCAACGAGGCGCTCGCTCGTTGTGCGAAATGGAACACTCCGCGACTCCTCACCAAGGGAGGAAAATATCCACCCACTTCCACGTGCTGATTGCATCACACATACTAGGCAACATGTACAATCGTTCCTTGCACCGATCCCTTGCGCTAGCCGCGAGTGTCACGGTGACCGGCGCTTTCGCGGCCCGTGTGTACCGGCAGCAAGAAGAGGAAGAGGAAGCCGGCCGTCCCGCTTCCCTTCAACATCACCACAACTCCCTCCTTCTGCAGTCCCCCGCTCCCTTGACCAAGCATATCCACGAGCCAGTCCCTTGTCTACCGTCCTTCTTCCTCTCCCCCCGCCCACCTGCGGCTTGTGCTGCTGCCCCTGCTCCCGGCCTCCCGGCCGGCATCCCAGAATTTCACCAGGTCCCGCAACCCGCCACCGACCCTGCGGACACCGACTCCATCGTCTTTCGGATGCAAAAGTACTTCACCACCGCTTCTCTTGAGGAAGTGGCCAAGTTCAAGAAGGAGAAGGCCGGGGTAAAGATTTACACCGTGAAGGAAGGGTCGATCCCAGACCCTGCCATTGGCGGGCGCAAGACCGGATTGCCCGTGGCTCGGATTGGGGAGGCGGTGATCAATGCTCCTTTGGAACAGGTAATGGGCGGGATGAGAGGGAGGAAGGGGGTTAGCGTGGCGGACGAGGGCGGGGTAAGGGAAGGGAGGGGCGACCGCGATGGCCCCTCTTGGGATACAGGGATCGGCCGTGCCTTGTGGACGGGGGCTACTTGATGGCATAGAAGGCAGTGGTCACATTGTCTTTCATAGGATTTAACGGCTCGCACGCCACCTTGCTGGCACAGGTTGCAACCTTGTGGTGGGTCTTTAACGGGCGGATTTTGTGGGACAAGGTGAACACCCTGGCTTCCGAAGTGGTGGAAGAGTACAAGAACGCTCGGCTGGTGTACATCAAGGGCACCCCCAAGCCGATGATCAGCTCCAGGGATTTTGTCTTCGTCAGTCACAAGTGAGGGAGGGAGGGAGGGAGGGAGGGAGGGGAGGAGAAAAAGATCGTGTAGCTCTCCCTCGTGGGCTTGCTGCTGTTATTTCATCTGCAAGAGCCGCAATAAGCATATCTCGAAAGCGTGATTCGTAGCCTAGGTTTGTGGAAACTGTTGAGGACTCATCTGCATATCCTCTTATAACGCCTTTTTTCCCTCCTCTTCTCCCTCTCCCTCCGTCCGACCCTCCACTTTCCTCCCTCCGTTTGTCAGAGTGCCTGCCGGCGACTTGGGTGGCTCTTTCGGAGCCCAAGCATTTGTGCAGACCAACGCAGCGAACACACTTCCTGAAAACAGCGGGGCCGTACGTGGGAATATCAACAGCATCATCCTCTTGGAACCCGTGGATGGGTACACCACACGTGTGCGCTACGTGTGCGAGATCGAACCCAAAGGATGGCTGCCCACCATGGTAACGGAAAAAAGAGGGAAATCAAAGGGCTGCCGGGCGTGGATGACCTGGGCGATGCTCGGATCTGGGAGCGTGACGCATGCACTCACTCTACCGTCCACTTTTTTATCCTCACACACACACGTTCCACGCCTGGTGCACAGGCGGTGGAAGCGGCGGCCGACGACTTACCCGGTGTTTTGGGCGTGATGAAGGCGCATCTTGAATCTGAAGCGACGGGTGGGAAGGAAGGGAGAAGGAGAGGGAGGGCAGATTCGCGCGTGTAGGGGAGCCAGCCGTGCGCGTATCATCTGACGCATCTCGTTTTTGTCCCCTTTCTTCACAAGCTTAGAGGATGCAGAGGCGCTGGTTCGGAGACGAGCAAGCCTCCGGGAGAAAGATCACACGGTAGGACTCAATGATGGACTTGATTCTCGCGCCCTCGGTCCTCATTTTTCTTGTTTCTTACTGGTTTCCTTCAGTCCTTTTCTTTCAAAAAATCCTTAACCCCTGTTTTATCTGCGGCGTACGATTCAGCATCCCCTTCTAGTTGACAGCGTGACCGCCAGCAGAGAAGATCTTCTCGCCTTGAAGAAACTGCTCCAGACAAAGCTAGAGGAAGCGAAACGCGATGAGAAGAAATTAAATCTGAGCCTAGCGGAATTGAAAAGCAAGATACAGAACGATCTTAAGAAGGTAGAGGCGAGGTTGAGGGCAGGTGGAAAGTGAAGAGAAATAGGGGCGAAATAAAGGAGGAAAATGTCAGTACAATGTGCGGATTTGCGATACGACCGTGTCGGTCAGGGGCGTAGGCGAAGGAAGGAAAAAATCAAACAAGAGTTTTTCGTCATGTTTCTTCACGATTGGCCGCATCGGGAACGTAAAAAAAGCCAATAAAATAGTAAAGGATGGGTATTAAGCATGTGTTGTTAGCTTCCCGATGATTCAAGACTCTATCCCTTTAGCCCACCCTCTCGACCGTTTCTCGGATTTGAATTTTGAAATCGCCAACTGACACCTTCGCCCTTCGTGTAATGGTTTGTCCTGTGCACAACATTCGTTTTCCCCCAGTTACAGTATCAATATTGTACCCGTAAGACACATAAATTTGCATGTAACATATGTATTTTTAATTTTAATACAACAGGGTTTCGTGCCCCCCCTTGGTGGAAAGATCTTTGCTTTTTCATTGGTTGAAGTGGAGGAAGAGGAAGGTGTCAGAGCCTGCATATCATGTCGTCGTTCGCCTCCCTCCTCTTCAAGAAACCATTGCTCACGGGAACCGCGGCACTAAGCGGAAGTGTTGTTACCATTTGGAACTGTAAAGCGTCATCAGAGATGCTCCCCGGGAGCATGGAGGATAAAGGGACAAAATCGGGCCTACACACAACACAAGTTGCCTATGCGCTATTTTCTCCTCGTGGTATTGTCCGAGTCGTGCAATCGAGTCCCAAGCACTGCACAGATCGTCCAGTCCTATCGCCTTCCCTTGCCACAAAGGGTCTAAGAAAAGAGAGGAAGGGAATTTTCCTCCGACAGGATTCCAAACGGGCTTACACTTTCACCTCGCCACGCGGTATCTGCATCTCTCAAACGACCCCCAGGGGAGGAGGTACGGAGCCCATCCTCCATGTACAATCCCTTCGACAAGATCCCCTTAATAGTATCCTTCCTACTGAAAAGGCGGGGCGTTTGTAGTCGCAGTGCAGCGCTGACAAACACCATGGAACGCTACTCCGATAGATGCGTGTGCTACTCCGTCATTCCTCGCATTTAGCGGCTTCCCATCGTCGCTTAATCTTTCTTTGGGATAGGGTTTAAGAAATCTATATGCGCAAAGATTCTATATCTTTTGCTCATAGTAGCCTCGATAGCAATGGTACTGGAGGCAATACATTCATCGGAAGAGGTACAGGGATGAAGTATAGATGACTTGGAGAAATACGAGGTAAGGGCCGCCATCGACGAGCAAGAGTTTACACAATAACATCAAAAACTAAGCACATTTGTGAGCAAGTACTGGGAATTGTGACTTGGTTGCATTAAATTCAAGTTTCTCCACATTGATGTCGTGCTTTTCAAGTATTCACTCTTCACAAAAACCTTTTTTCGTTTGGTTGATCTCTGTATTCACAAGCCAAATTTTCGTTTTCTTTCCGTATTTTTAATCCTTTCATTTGAATTTATTTTAACATCGACGTGTTGGCCGCAAAACTTTTTTCAGTCCATTATTTCTCAATGTCCATCCATCCATCCTGTTCTTATCCTTTTTCTTCCCGATTTTTGCTACTCATTTTTCCTCGTCTACAAGCCCTCACGAGAATCTCGACACAGCTACTCGCCTTTTCTCTTTTCTTTACATACGTAACCATTAATTCCCATTGTCTTTCTACGAAACGTATTTTAGTGGCGTCGTGTCTCCCTACGGACGTGCCATTCAAATGGATGGCGTCACTCCTTCGTCGAATTGCTACTTGTACCTCCCCACCCCCTTGGACGCAGCCTCTCTGCACACGTTTACAAAACCATTTCCTAACATGAATGCTTCGTTGTCACAGATAAAAGCTGGCCGTTGGCGCCGATGCTAGCAAAGGGCTCCACAACGCTTTACATAGTAAGCTTTTTGGCAATCCTCCTCTGTCCTCACGCCTTTTTTCGATCGACATTACATGCTACAAGAAATTCGCATCTCCCTGTGACAAGATCATTTACGATTATGGCATCTTCCAAAGCCTCCACATCCGATGTCACGGTATCTAGTGTCGAGGGCATGCAGCAATTGCTCTTCGTGCAGGTAAACAAGAGTATGTTTTATGCAAGGACTGATTTTTGTACCATAATTTTTTACCTCACAGTTCTCATCCGTTATTATCAGATGGGCTTTGGGTGCGATCAACATGGGCAAGACGCCACCAAAGCGGCCGTCAAGGCCTGTCGCAACGCGATCGAGTGGAATTCGCTTCCGTCGATAAACCAGATCGTCCCAGGAGGGTACGATGCCATGAAAGTAAGTGGGACAGGGTCACCTAGACAACGATCCTATCCTACGGTAATGTTTGATACCTCTCCATTATGTGAGGACAAACACTTAATCCCCTTTGTTGTTCCGGTCCGAGTCGATTTGGCGGAAAACTTGCTATCAATGTGTTAAGCTCTTGTTTTAACCTGTAGGTGCGTGTGCAGATAGCCGTGCCAGTGGATGCGTCAAACATCGACACAGAAGCCATCAAAAAAGCATTTCCATACGGTCAGCTCTTACCCGTAGAGATCCAAAGCGGGGGAATGCGTGCGTCGAGTGGCATCGCCTTGCCGGCCATGGGCGACCGGAATGACGATTGGATCGTGGCGATTGCCGCAGTGTCCGTAGGATGGTGAGAGTCGACTAGTACGGCGTCCTCCTGAGGAAGGCCAGTAAGGCACTTTTTGGAGGGTCATTGGGAGGTCCGACAAGACCGAGGGAGAGAAGGGAGGTGCAGTCACTGGGGATGCTGTCAAAGAAGGCAAGCACGGTGGATGTGAAGTAACAACTACATAATGCGACCCTGTCGATGGACCTGATCGACGTTTTCTGATATTTGAGTATTTCGGTAGCATGTCACCTAGCCCACCAACGTTCTGAAACATCGGGTGCGTGGCCCGCCCTTCGGCTGTCTTCTCCCCCTCTCCTTTCTTCTTACTTGCCTTCCCCTCCGACCGTCCCGGGCCCCTCCTCCCATTGGACGCATGCCGCGACCGACCCCTGTACACGTTTTTTTGTGCCTTGTCTACCGTCCTTCTTCCTCT